CGGGACAGGGGTCGGGCCCGGAGCGCGCATCCCCTTCCCCGTACCCACCGCCTCGCGTCCAGCTCCCTGCACCCCACAGATTGGGGCCCGGCCCCCCAGCACCCCCAGGACCGGGTTTTGGGGTGCGTCTCCCCCCGTCCTCGCACCCCCCAGGCCCGGTGCCCCCGGTGAGGCGAGGGGCACCTTCCCTGGGACACCCGTGGCTGTCCCCAGGGCTGCTCTGGCACTGTCCCCTGCGCTGTGGGGTTTGGGGCTCCCCGGGGTGAGGATGACCTTGCTGAAGCAGCACCTTTGCTGAAGCAGTACCCCGCTTCTGGCTCTCCCGGGGGGGTTCCCGGTTCCATAAGCGCACGGCCGACGTGCAGGGATGCGTGGTTCGCTGCGCTCGGCCTGTGCCGCTAGTGCCAGAGTGAAGTTGGGGTGCGTAGGGTGCTGGGAACCGGGCTATCACAGTGCGGGGCCGTCAGCAGGGAACAGCTATACCAAAAATAGATAAGGCGTAGAGTAAGAGAAGCATAAGAACGGTTATTTAACTCTTAGCAAGCGATGATGGATTCGCGTTGGGGTTCTGAGCAGCTCAGCCAGCCCTTTAACCCGCCCAGTAGGAACTTAAAGGCACTCGATTTTGTTGCGGTCTTGTCCAGAAATGCAGCTGTGCTTTCTCTTCCCTGCTTGTCAGCGTATGCTGTAAACTCCTTGAGAAAAGAGACTTGTCTCTCGCTTGTCCATATGTGCCTCTGGATATCAAACGTTTTCTCTTGGCTCTTACTAATCTTGAAATGCTTTTGGTCTCGCTTTTGCTGTGGATGCCTCTCTCTGTACCTTTTCACTCTGATGACCGTGGCTAGTGATGAGCTCAAAGCACTGGGGTACTTCTGGTAATGTTTTAACTCCAGCTATACAGATAATTAGTCCTTGGAGAGCCGGGAAGTGCTGAAAGTTGAGGGCAGGAGGAGAGTTTGTCCCTGGATGGTCACGTTACGTTTTGACCTTCTGTTTTAGAAACGCTTTCGTACACGGACGACACGGCCATGAGCAGGTCGGTGGTGCAGTCCCTGCTAGCCAAGCGAGAGTTTGATGAAGTTGATATGGCCAAGAGGTAAGGACCACAGCCAGCTTCGGAGCCAGGGTGTTGGCATCTGCTAGTGAAGGCAAGACTTTCTTAACATTTTGCAATCGCTGTAATTTTCTGTGAAAGGGGACAGGGGCTAAGGCAAAGTCGTTATTAATTTGTGGAGGAAAAAAAAATTAGAAAAATGAGGGCTAATCCTGTAATTTATTGCGTGCTTTCTGGAACGTGCAGCGGTATTACCTTTAGCGTGGGTTCAGAGTCTGCTGTAAAATGTCGCAGGATGGGACATGCTGTATTGCAGCCATGTATGTGGATTCACCTTTGTGGAAGATAATGCTTAGAAATTTCAGAATCATTTCCTTTCCTGTTTATTTGTTGCTATTTATGTTTGTACTTCCCTTAGCTTAGTGAATAGTAGTGAGGTCAGTGTCAGCCTGTTTATGATCTGTTTCCCATTTGAATCCACGGCCCTGGTAGCATTTGGTTCCACTTAAGGGAGAACATTTATTTGTTTAGAAAACTCTTCCATTGAACTTAAACAAAAGACTTTCTTTGTGGTTGTGACCCATGGAAATGTTTCCAGTTTGTTTCTATTTCAAGGCAAAGTTGAGGGAGAAACAAGCGGGCTGTGGAAGGTGGTGCTTATACACCCTTTCCTCCTTTCACACCAATTTTTGGGAATCTGATTCTTACCCTACAGAAGTGAATCACTTGAACCCTGACTGTCACCGAGTTATCCATGTGTTATTAATTCACTTTATCAAGTGGCTTTACACAACCTCTTTACAAACTTCAGTAACAGAGCAAATATCCCGTGTATTTTTTCTCACCTGCGTAACTGCTGCTCTCTCGCCCATGCCAGGTTTGCTGAGGAGTACAAGAAGGAACCCAACCGGGGCTATGGGATGGCTGTCGTCAACGTCTTCAAGAAGCTCCTGAGCCCCAAGTGCAATGATGTGTTCGAACCAGCACGAGCCCAGTTTAATGGGAAAGGCTCCTACGGCAATGGCGGTGCCATGAGGGTGGCAGGCATCTCGCTCGTGTATTCTGATGTCCAGGATGTTAAGAAGGTACCGTTGGGGTCTCCTTTGGGCACCTCGCTCCAGGAGCCCCTGCTGTCAGGCGAGTCTCACCATGATCTCTCGGGTGGGTTTGCTAACGATGTCTTTTCATTCACAGTTTGCGAAGCTGAGTGCTGAGTTAACCCATGCCAACTCCCTGGGCTACAACGGGGCCATCCTGCAGGCCCTGGCCGTGCATCTCGCCCTGCAGGGCGAGCTCAGCAAGGAGACCTTCCTGGAGCAGCTCATCAGCCACATGGAAGATGTAGAGGCAGACGATAAGTCTCTTACTGACGCCCGAGCGTAAGTAGCCGTGGGGAGCACTAACTCTGCTCCGTACAGTTTATTCTCTTCGCATTCTCTCTTCTTCATTGTACTCTCTTTTTAATTTTTTTTTCTTCCTTTCCCCCCTCCCCACCCCAGGCTGGGATTTGAGGATTTACCATTTTCAAGGCGTCTGAAGAAAATAAAGGAATTTTTGGAGCTCAGCAGCGTTCCCAAAGCAGATGTATTGTTTGAATTAGGTAAGTACCTTTCTTACTACAGGTATTAGGAAAGAGCTGGAAGCATGTGCCCTCCCCCAGATTGCCGTGTCAGCTCTGCTGCCTGTCAGGCACAGAATGTGCTGGAAAGGCTGCCTGTGCTCACCAGTCAGTAATTCTCTGAGTCTGGACCCAGTGACTCCCTCTCTCTATTGGTGGGAAAAAAAGTCTTGCTAAGAAAAACTTAAAATGAGTAACATTTCTTAATCTAAGATTTTTTTTATTTTAATGGCTGTCAGCTCTTTGGGTTGGATGGGAACGGGTAGATGTGCATTGCCAGACTGTACTGGTGTAGCTGGGAGTTGGTCTCCAGGATGCGAGTAGTACTGGGGAACTATGGGGGGGGTTTCACTTCCGAGATGCAGACTTTTGCCCCATGATAAAATCAGTGACGCTGGTATTGAAGGTAACTGGCAATGGGAGGTTGCAGTTAGAAGGGAAAAGGTACTTCTGCGGGAAGCAAGAGACAAGTGTTCTGCAGCACTGAAGGTGACTGGTTTTGTTAACAGGCAATGGCATTGCTGCTTTGCGGTCTGTCCCTACTGCAATTTACTCCTTCTTGCGCTGTATGGAAGCCGACCCAGATATTCCTGACCACTACAGCAGCCTGCAGAGAACCATCATCTACTGTATCTCCCTGGGTGGAGACACAGACACCATTGCTACCATGGCGGGAGCCATTGCAGGGGCTTATTATGGGGAGGAACAGATACCCCCAAGTTGGGAGCAGAGCTGTGAGGCTTTTCAAGAGACACAGAAGCTGGCAAACAGCTTGTATGAACTCTACTGCCAGCGGCTCTGAGCTCCGAGGGGAGTGTGTTTTCTGAAGGCAAAGCGGGTGGTCACCTCTGCTTTTCTGGTCAGAAATGCGGTGGTGGATCCGTGCCATCTGCAGACACCAGTGAGCCTCCACCCGAGAAAGACGCCCGCTGCTGTGATTGAGAGCTGGAGGCACGAGCTGGTTTGGAAGAGAGGGGACATTCCCCTCAGTTACAGTTCGGCTGGGAAGTGGCTGGATGTGGTGCCTTGGACAGTGGGTGCATCTCCTCTGAAGTGTACAGGAGCATTTGTCTTTCATAAGGTTTCTGCTTCTTTGTCCCACCCTTATGCCGTTGTGTCACTTTGTCATTACAGTTACTAGGTGGGTGTCTGAATCCACTGACTGTCTTGCTGTTTTCCTCTACTCCCGTGTGCCGTGGCCTCCGTTTCAGTTAGTGACCTGTCCTGCAGTGGCTTTGACAGGCTCCGCGCCCCTCTCAAACGCCAGTTCGCGCTCAGCTGACCAGTTGTCAGAGAGGCACGTCCCTGGGGAGCCCGGAGGATGTCCTGCGTGGTGGCACGGGTCACCACCTGCGTTGTGGAGGGCGGCCTCCCGGGAGGTTTGCTTCCTTAACAGCAGAATGAAAAGTGCTGGATTGGAGAAGGGATTTCTTTGCGTTGCTAGTGGCGTTGTGAGAAATGCCTTTGGTGCATGCAGACAGAATCCCAGTTGGCTCATTGTTACTGCTGGAAGAGGGCGTAACTAATTACCGCTCCTTTGGTGTCCTTTGCTCTGCGATCCACCTGGCACCGTCCCGGTCTATTGCATTTTGTGTTCCCTTACGTAGCTGGCTTTCACCTTGCTGCAGCTGCTCTAGCCATTCCCTCCGTTCCCAGTCCTTGCATTCAGCGTTTTTAATCCTGTCCTACGTATGTCCAGAGCACCGAGTGAGATCGCTGTTTAAATCTGCGAGTGGAGATAGTTGTGAAACCTGGTGTTACACAAGGACTGAATTCCTGGTTCTGCTGCAGGCAGTGACAAAAATTACTTCAGCTGGAAGCAGGGGTTACTTCTCACAGTTTTAAAACTCTGTACTTGGTAAGAATCATCTAAAAATAAAGGTTGCTTAATTTGGGGGAGAATTTGTCAGAGTTTAAAAGAATTTGTGGATTTGAAGCTGGTACTGGTGGCCAGGAATATTCTAGCAAAGCTGTGTTGTTCCAGAGTTTCACATTTTAAACCTTTGCCCAATGGAGCTGGTCAAAAAGGGAGTAACAGCTTGGGTATGGCATATCTAAAAAGGGTTAAAAGCTTTCTAATAATTGAAAACAAAAAGGAAGCAAGAGGCATGCAGTCATCATGTGGAAATGTTTATAAATTTGAATATGACAACGTACTTCTCTCTAATCTCTAGTATTTCTTGTGACACCGGGAAGCGACCGTTCTGCTCAGCGCTCGCTCCCTGTTGGTATCGGCACGTGGGTGTTGCGTGTGTCAGGCTGCACGCACACGTGCGAAGTCTGCCTGCGAGGGGGGGGTCCCGTTTTTCCTGTACTCTCCTTCCTTCAAGTGCCAGTCTTCTGTGTGATGCTTTAATGGGTGTTCCTTGTATAAATGAATTCTTGTGCTGAGAACATGTGGAATTTCTGTCTATTGTGTATTTATGTATTGTGCTGCAGATCTGAGATGTAAAACGTCAGGTTTTTCACATTATTCTGCCAGATGTGTGAGCATATTCACAGAATTATTTAAAAGAAGATACCTTCCTTTTAAAGGAGCTTTATAATTTGAAATGTTTGGAACTCATGAAGAGCAGAAGAGCTCCTGTTTAAAAAAAAAAAATAGTTCATTTAGGCCAGAATTTAAATGTGTACTAAAACATTTAGCTCTGACTTCCTTGGAAAGAAATAAAATCACTTAGTTATCTTTGTTAATTAGCTGCTCCTGTCTTCCTTCAAGTCATGAAGTTGTGCTTCCATACGAAATGTCGCTGAGTTGTATGAAAAACTCTGGGCTATTTCTCCCCACCCCATACTTCACTTTAAGACTCAACCTGAAGCTACTTTGTCATGGCTTCTGGAAATCTTTCTGTAGAAAGCAGAATGGGAGTTGTTCGGTGCTGGTTAGAGACTTCTTGCGTGTAGCCAAGACTCGTGCTTCATTTGGGGGGAGTTTTAGCACTGGAAATTTGTACAGACTGCTTTCAGGTGGCCCCTCCTGCCCGTAAGCGGTGCGGGGTGGCTGAAGTTCGTAGAAGCCCAGGAGCAGCGGTTCTTGCTAACAGCAGGGTGCATCGCTTGTGCGCGTCGCGGGGAGGTTTGCTGGAGAGGCCCTTTTCCTTCGCTGGCTGTGGCTCGTCGGCTGTGTTCGCAGCGGGGAGCAGCGCGTGGAAGGAGTTCAGCTGCTGGAGTCCGGCGTGCGGTGACCGGGGAGCGTGCCGGCTGCCCCCACCACTTGCAGCAGGAGAATCGCTGCTGCTTCGTAGTCAGCTTTGGAAGGAGTCTGCCCGCGTGGCAACCAGGCTTCTCTGGAAGTGTTCCACCTGTAACAAGTAACGTCTCCTCTTCCAGGTAAGAGATCGGGTGGGAAAACATTTTCTTCTCTTTATTCTTTGTACTTTTAGCCTGTGAAAGTGATTTGCTTACAGGCGATTCACCATTTCTTCTGTGTGCTGCTGAACTGAGGGCTTTTGCTGCTCGGGATGCAGAGGTTGGCTGTAGACAAGGTTGTGAAACGTAGCAAAAAAAAAAAAAAGTGTAATGAAAAAAACACAGAAAGGAAAGGGAATCCCCAACACTGACTTAAATTCCTCAAATTAGTAACTGTCAGTCTGGAAGGGTCTGGATTTCATAATTTTTTTTAAAAAATGAACTTCTGGAGACAGGAGTCTTCTCCTTAATCACAAGAAACATGCAGTACCTTCTTACATAAGAATATTAATTAGTGAGCAAATCTGCTGGACTGCTGGGAACCAGTGAGCTGGGTTTGAGAAGGAAACACAGCGCAAGAGGTCTGTGCAAGCCCGTCAGTAATGGGACAAAGGCACAGCTGAGCCCACCTTTTATACAAGAAGTTTTATTGATGTTTTGTCAATACAATCAAGTACTGTAGTTTTAGTTCTGAAGAGAAGGCCAGTTTCTGATCACAAAAAGAGTGCATTTTAAACCAACTTTTACTATGACAGACAGTGCATGTAATAAGTATTTACAAAACTAAAAACCTCTATATACTAGGTTAGAAATGAAGATACTAGAGGCAAATTTAAAAAAAATAGTAAGAATTTGTATATAAAAATGCACATTGTAATGCAGTTTTCATAATTAAAAATAGACGTACTTCATCCAACCCAACCTCTTTTATTATTGTGACTGAAACCCAAATCCCATGCGCTCACACACACGACAGAAAGTAATCCTTCTTGCTGGCGAATATCACGTACTCAGTACTCCAGAAAAAAAAAAAATTCCTCCTGACAGCGTCCAGTTTAGCGAACAGCCTCCCTCATCCTGTGCATCGTTTTTTCTAGCCTAACTCTATGTGCATGTAATATCTTTGCCTTTCAATTACTGTGTAAATGTAACAGGTTATATAGCTGCGGAAGGTTGATTATGGTTTATGCTCTGCACGTGAAGGGAAAGTGAAATTGCAAAACAGTATCTACAGCACCGCCTGAGTTTGTGTCTCGGCGTGGTTATAGCGAGTATTTTTGTCATCACTTTTTGCCAGCTAGAACAAGAAGTTTTGAATAAAACAGAACAAAGAGAGATGGAACGTAGGTTAGAACACAGTATAAATAAGTCGCTTTGCTGAGTAACAGGATGAAGCTTCCACGCCGGGGCGCGAGAAGCTCCTGG